GTCAGAAATTCAGCTTGCTTCAGCAGAGAGAATTACAGGGTACAATCCCAAGCAAATTAGTAACACGCCAGCGCTAGGAAAATAAGGTCACAGTGTCTTTGGCAAGTTTTTGAATAGGACACTCATAGTTGGTCTAGATTCTTGTGCTAATACCCTCTTTGAAGGCACACTTTTAATTAACTGCAGTAGGAAAAGTGGGTAAGAGAGGTGTGGAAAGCAAGCCTTATGTTCCTCTATACACTCTAAGCTAGAGAAGTTTGGTTTTATAGTATCCTTTTGATGTAGTTCCTTCCAGACCATTGAAGAAAGCTCAACCTTCAGTTGAGTCAGAGCTGAGTCCCTTGCTGAGATGCCCTGCTCTAGGCAGGCCTGTCCTGCAGTTGGGCAGGGGATGGTGACACACACCAGGTTCCCTGAGCTGGGGGAGCCCCGGGGGAACACCCCCAGTGCTGACCCAGTGGCACACCCTGAGCAGCAGAGGCACTGGGGGACTCTGCACCAGCTGCCCCGCCCATGGTCGATGTCTCCACCCAGGAGGAGCTGCTGAGGAGGGAGGGTCCAGTGCAGACCTCACTGAGATCCTTCTCTGGGGCAGGGACAGGCTGCAAACCTGCCTGCAAGGTTGGGCCCAGGTGGAGAACCTGCAGGTGGCTGAGCTGCATGAGGTGGTGAGAAGGCAGTGGAACACTGGGGAGGCTGAGAAAGAATTAGATAGCTGGTTCAAAGCACAGTCTGCAGTGGACCTACAGCCAGACAGCCACAAACTCCCACTCCCACCCAACACACAAAAGGGGACAGGAGGCAACAGTGCAGAACAGAAGCTTGCAACAGCAAGATGTTCAGGGGGCTAGAGCACCTCCCCAATTAAATTAGACTGAGAGAGTTGTGTTTTTCCAGTCTGGACAAGAGAAAGTTCTGGGGAGACCTTATAGCACCTTCCAGTATCTAAAGGGGCTAGGAGAGAGCTGGAGGGACTTTTTACAAGGGCATTTAGTGATAGGACAGAGGGCAATGGCTTTGAACTGGAAGAGGGCAGGTTTAGATCCGCTATTAGGAAGAAATGCTTCACTGTGAGGGTGCTGAGGCACTGGCACGTATTTCCCAGAGAAGCTGCAGATGCCTCATCGCTGGAAGTGTCCAAGGCCAGGTTGGATGGGGCTCTGAGCAGCCTGGTCTAGCGTAAGGTGCCCCTGTCCAAAGCAGGGGGGTTGGAATGAGATGATCTTTAAGATCCCTTCCAACCAAACCATTCCATGATACGATTATAGAAGCAGTATCTCCATCTATGTGGATGTCCATGGTTTTCTATAGCTCTCCACTAAGTCCATTAGCTGTCACCAAGGAGCGCTGCCAAGTTTATTCTGCAACACAGGGAACTATAAAATAACAGAACAACAGAACACACCTACTTTGTCTTTCTCAGGATTATCCCACAGATTTTACAATATTGTTCCATGTTCAGATCTGTATTTGTATATCTCCTAGTAGTCAAGCATATATTTTCTGTTATGTTCTGGGAAGTAACTGTACACATTCTAAATGGTGCTTTACATTACCATGCATTCATGTTATTAGTATTTTTCTCAAAGAGAGGATTTTTTCTTCCTCTTCAATGTTAAAATAATCTTTTGTTGTCACTGGACTCGACGATCCTTGTGGGTCCCTTCCAGCTTGGCATATTTTGAGATTCTGTAATTCTGTGATCTTTTAAAGTAACCAGCTGCTTCCTGCCAGGATCTACAGCTCAACTGATAGCACTATAAAGGTATTTCTTCAAAACATTAAAATTTATTGCAGCTTTATTTGTTGATGCTGTACCCTTAAAACTACCTTTGTTAGTCTGCATTGGCCCTACCAATGTGTCGTCCTTACTGCAGCAGTTCAAGACAATGCAGTACCTTTGCTTGCAGTTACATTTTATATAAAAGAGTCTGCAACTGGGAAATGGGAATAAATTATATCCAGGCAATTCCAACAATGCAGAGAGACTTTAGAGATCATAAATGTCAGAAAGTTCAGTGTCAGTTTCTCAGAGGGTAAAACAGAACAGAAAGTTAGTAAAAAAAGATCCTGCAGTAAGCAATAGGGCACGCATGCAGAGATGTTTCTCAAGCAAACAGGGTTAGGTGAGCTGCCTTAAGACCTGAGCTCTTCCCATACAGATATGTTCTCCAAATCACAGTCAATAAAAGATGCTTACTTTTATAAATCCACTAAGATCTTTAAAAGGTAGCTTTCTTCCTCTATCAAAGTCAAGAGGATTTAGTTGTCCCCAACAACACAGTTTAAGAGACTTACCTGTGTATGACCAAGAACAATCCTTTATAAAACAAACCTTTACCTTTAAAATTAAACTAGAGGTATTTAGCATAGTTCCAAGCAAGCAACTCTTGCCAAGTGGCTGTCAGATCAGAGTGCTGTGCAGTATACTTGACAGAAAAGCTAGTGTAGTTACAATAAACCAACCCAAGATTTAGTACTGGAAGAACTCAAACACTGTCAAAAGAATCACACAGTAAGTGCTCCCTGTAACAGAGATTTTGGGATTCTTATTTATGCATACCTAGATTCTCAGATTTACAAACAGCCACCCTTTTGTTTCAGGAGCTCCTCAAATTTAGATTTAAGAGATATATACTTAGGCCTATCTTAATAAAAAGCAAATACGTATTTTAAAGGAGTGGAGAAATAACTAAAGGTATAGGAAACAAATCCATCCCCCCAAAATGCTTGGAAAAATAGGACTGTAGAAGTGTGACAGTCATACAACACAACTATTCTAATCTCCATGATTAGAACATATTTACAGATCCAAGTAGTCTTTCCATTTATAACTCAAGGGCCATCTACACTACACTTAATGCCCTTTCCCACTTAGCCCCCACCCACCAAAGTTTTGAACTAAAATACAGGCACACCATACTGGTGTGAAACCATTCTGATGCATATTCTGTTTTGAAGTCCATCTTACTAGGCAAATGCATTTATATTAATGCAAATGTCTTAGCTGAGACATACTACAAACTGAAAGGAAAATAGAAACATTTCAATGATTAGAACAACAAAACATATAAAAATGAGGCATTAAATATAAGGGGACAGGAGTCAGAAGTCAAATTAGCTGAAGGGCTTAACTACACCCCTGGAATGAAGTGCTATTCATTGTTGGAAATACAAAGCAGACTCTGACAATTAACGAATAGAAGTCTTGGGTCTTTTACAATAGATCTTTAAACCGTTCCTACTCAGCAGATTCAAAATTGTTTCACTGGGGAGCACAGAGGCTACTGACCCCAAATAGCAGCTGTTTTGTTCAGCTCACCTCACACTATATCAGAATCCCTGGAAGTTTTGTACTGCATGCTAGCACGCCCCTCGTCCCTCCCCAGCAAAAGGTAAACTTAATCATAGTATCCAAGTGAAAAACTCTGGAAACAGTTCACATTGCTGTTTAACAAACTTCTAAAGCTACTAAAACAGGTTTCAGGGTCTACCTTCCGTCGCTGATCTTGCCCAGGCTTCACTAAAGTGAAGCGCAAGTTCCACACGTTCTTATATTCCTAACTCCCAAAACAGAGGCCTATAAGGAAGGTAGTTTCATATTTAGGTTTCCTTATGCCCATCAAATATTTTGTGCGCTGTAAAAGGCACTAAAGTAAGACAGGTCATCTAAAGTTTATTAAAACATCTGTGCCTTCCAGCATGGAGTTCACAAATTCCGAATGCAACATTATTCAGCCAATTTAACAAGATTAGCCAGCCTGTTTTTTCCACTTTCTCTCATTTCTTTATCCATAACAAGCTAGCTTGCAGCTAAGGGAAGCTAAGCACTTTTAAAGCTTTATTCTTTCACAGCTAGTAAAGTACAGCATTTACAATTGGGAGCTATCATGTCAGAAGCACAGTAGTTTCTCACGGGTCATTCAAAGTGCGCTACACAAACCAAACCCAAGAAAAGAGAAAGGAGACTGGGAAGAGAGCAGACTAATTAACAGTTCTAAATTTTAGTTAAACTCTGTTCAACCTTCTGCTTCTCAGATCCAGCTAGACAACTAATAAGCTTCGTGGAATTCCAGCCCTTAATTAACACACAATTATTTCCCCAGAAGGATTAGATGTTTCACCAAATGTTCAAGAAGTCAGTTTTTACAGCTCCAGTTAGATAACTGTCTACATTTAGGAGCAAGGGTTACCTCTCCATATTCTATTGGTAACAGACTATATTTTTTAATGCCATCACTTGCATTTTCATTGCACCAGGCTTCCCTCTTTGTGACCACATAACATTTTCAGCCAGTAATTCAGTCACTTGACATGATAAGATAAAAGCCATTAATGTAAGTACCCCAATTATACATTAACTGTTTGAAAGCAGAAGAATCTGTTAACAACCACCTTTCTGAAAGGCTAACCCAACATTTTATAGACCAAGGTCTGAGGCATGGTAAACACCACCCTTCCCAAGGCAGTCCAGCTTCTCTGCTGGCAATTAGTTCTTCCTTGACTTGTGGCTAAACACACAGTTCATTTTAAAGCCCTGCCTCAGTTTTGTGAGAGCAGAAGGTATGAGTTTTAAATGACAATGCTGAAGAATTAATAAGACAGTCAATCATCAGACCTTTCTCTTACTTTTAACCATCTACAGCTATCTTCAAACAAAATCCAGCTATGACAGTCCTATGGTTCTGCAAATGTCTTCCTCAGGGTAAGAGCGACATCATCTCCTCTAAACAACCCAGCTTTCTTCTGCTCCTTCTGGCTGCACCTCCCATGCTGCAAATTAATACATGTTGTTTCAACACTGCTTGGGCAATTCCACTACACTACACCAGAAATACTTAGAAAACTGACAAATCAGGCCAGCTTTACACTTAAAAACTGTACAAACGCCACCCATTGGCAGCAGCAGGCAAATAGCCAGCCTTTATACCCTCTTCATCATTTTAGCTACATGCAAACCTGTCAGACTTTCACACCACCATTGTGAAGCAGTCCCGAGTGGCACACAGGAACACAGAGCTGATGGAGGTTCCTCATTGCAGAGATGAATGTGATCAGGCCTGACTGAGGTTTCCTCAGCTAGAAAAGGTGAGCCTCAGAAACTGCTGCTGCTGCTAGTGCTTTTAACATTCCAGGTTAGGCCTTTCTTCATACTGTAGTTTTCCTTGAAAAAAAAGGGCTTTGGCACTTTTAAAAGTATCTCTCTTTCGAAATGAATAAACTTTCTCCGAAGAAGGCCACTGAAGAGTTCCTGAGGGTCAGCTAAGGGCTCAACTAAAAGACTGTCATCAATAAAGCACATTTCTCCATGTCAGTGTAGCTCTTCAAGGAGCATCAAGCCAACTGTTTTCTTTGGCCAGAACGAATCTGTACCAACAGTGCTGTGACCAGTCACAGACCTCTGGTTATCCCTACGAAGCAGTGTTTGGATGCAGGACAGCTGTGCTTTGAAGCCCCATGCCCTTTAGCCTGGAAGGGACACCACTCTTTTCAGTCCCACAGCCTGTCACCACTGGTTGACAGGACCAGGTACCTCCAGCCCATTTGCCCCTTGGCCAGGGGGCTGCAGGGGCCCCTCATGTCCCCTTGGCCTGCAGAGAAAGGGAGTGAAGGCAGGAGCATGGTCACTGCAGCTGGGATCAGGTACCAGCAGCCTCTATTTGGCATGTTCTCCTTTGCTAAGGCATTCCTTGCCCCTGCCACCCATTCCTGGCAGCTCTCTCGTTGAAAAGGGTGGATGCTGTGACAAGGGTCTCTCTGGGGCTGCTCACATCTTCTTGCCAAGGCTGGCAGTCCCTGGGCCGTCCCAACGGTGCTCCAACAGACCTGTCTGCACCCCCTTGCTAAAGGAGACAGAAGAAAAGGCCTCCTCAGCTCTGCAGCCAGGGAAAAGGGCTCCCCATGCCCCAAAGCCTGGCTTAGGTCAGTAGTTCCTGGCAGTGCTGCTGAGCTCAGGCACTACTCCACGGGACCTGTCATGGGCCCTCGTGCCACAACCACACTTACTCTTCCAGTACTTTCCTCGGGAGCTGCAGCTCTTCCTGCTGCTCTAATGTGCTCTGCCTTGCCGTGCTTCGCCCCTTCTCCTTCAGCTTCTCAGCGTAGGCCTTTCTCAGGAGGTAGGGAGGGCGATAGGGATCCTCAAACACGTAGGGGCAGGAGGTCTGCAAAGGCAGAGGAGACTTCTAAAGCACTGCCACCAATGGCTGGGGCTGCTCCCAGAGCTTCAGCTGAGGCGTGTGACTTGCACAGGCTTGGCTTGGTCTTCAAAGCAGTGGTGCTGACCCCTCGCAGAGAGCACAAAGCTGCCAGCCCATGCCACAGCCAGCTGCACACTCCAGCCTGGGGCCTCAGGAACAGCTCCACCTACAGGGAGGGCAGGCCATGGCACTGCTGCTGTGCCCGGACACCTTTCCTGCTCCCTCCCAGGTGTTGCAGCTCCAGGGCCAGTGTCACGCCAAAGAGCAAGGAGGGGAAATGCCCCTTTCCTGGGGGATGTGATGTGCATCCCATACCTGTCCTTGCTCTGTCTCCTGTCTCGTTCGGTTGCCAAAGTATTTGCGCCACACTTCACCTTCCACCTCATGGCGCCTGGATGCCATCAGCAGCTGGAGCTCTCTTTCTTCCCTCTCATTGTAGAGGGAGTGCATTCCCTGAAGGCCGTGCACACACCACACATGCAACATTAGTCACCTTGAGCATGGCTAGGGCAGGAGGGCTGGGACAGTTCTTGCTGCCTCTCTGCCTCACCCCAGAGCCCAAAATGTGACACAGGGCTGGCAAAACCCAAGGATGTACCATTGCTGAGGGTCGCGGAGCACATTCGGGGAGCTTTGACCGTGACTCAGATTGAGGTGTGGGGTGAATTAGCATCTTATCGGTCTTCTCTTGGATTCCAGGCAGGAATCTAAAGAGGAAGGCCAGCAGTCTGAGTCTGTGGGAGCCCAGTCTGAGCCTGTATCTGTGCGATGGGCTCACACCCTGCTCCATGGCACCATGTGGCAGTTCACCAGAAGGACCACAAGTCCAGCAGGACAAGGTCTCCAGGGCCATTCAACATCAGCACGTGCACCCCAGCCAAAGGAAACATCTCTCCCTCTCCACCACAAGTGCACAGTGTACCCCAAACAGCCTCAGCCACACCACTCCTCTACAGGGCTCACCCTCCTCGGCCAGCCTCCTTGTGTTTAGGCTGATCAGGTTCCATTGACTGCTGGCTGGCCTGGGAAACCCTCCGCCGAGCCAGGAACACTGGATCCAGCACGCTGACTGCAAGTGGGAGAAAGGGAAGAGTATGCAGTGTCTTTGAGAGCACATGGCCAGCAGAAGGGGCAGAGCTGCTCAGTTGTGCCACGCAAGGCTCACCCTCAGTCCTTGCCACCCCTGGGAGCCAGAGTTCCAGGCACGGCCCTGTCCCTTACCCACA